TTCAAACAAGGAAAGAATCAGCCTTAAATGACTCACAACGGTCATGCCTTCCCATCGATGGTTAAGCCTTCCCATCGCTGGGTTCCCATCGATGGGTAAAGCTTCCCATCGCTGGGTAAGGGCATTCTGCCTTGTGATAATGTTGGACCAAGGCTTGAACAGCGATGGGTAGAGCTTCCCATCGCTGTTTGGCATGGTTTTGGAATTCAATTGGGCTGAAGGCTGCTTACCCATCGATGGGTAATATCTCCCATCGCTGGGTGAAATGATTCTGGAATCCCGGGATCAGTTTCCCATGCATGGGTGAAATGTACCATCGCTGGGTATATGGCTAGTCCAGAACCATGGCTTAGCCGACCGGCACTGAAACCCGACCGAAAAATGCAAAGTTCTCCATAGTAAAAACTAAGTGTTTAAAACACTTATTTAATGTATTTTGATGTCAAAATAAGCTTTATATGTTGAAAACCACGTCGTTAAGGTAAAAACCACGAATGACCAAGTCAATGCCATACACGGCTGGTTTTTGCCAAAAGACAAAACCAAAAGGTGGTTTTCATGATGTTTTGATTGGAAAACCATTTAAATGCATTCAAAAACAATTCCTACACAAAAATACTTGAGAACCACTTCATTTAAGTAAAAACCACGGCTAGCCAAGTTTATGCCGTTTCACATGGTTTTTATCAAATGACAAAAAACGAAAGGTGGTTTTTGAAGTGTTTTTGATGGAAAACTATTTAAATGCGCCCAGAAATAAAAACCAATCATAAAAAGTTGAAAACCACTTTGTGAGTTCGGACGCCAAAAACCAATGCCGAAAACCGAATGCCGAACGCCAGTTTCTAAAACCACTTGTTTATTCATATTATCATTGTTGAAACACAGGTTTATCACGTTTTCATACTAAAGCCGTGTTCGTTGTTATGACAGGTTTTGATAATGCCAAACCGCCGTGAACGAGATAAGTCATTGAATATACAAGGCGAGAACCAAAGATGAGAAGAAAGAGAACAAGGGACAAAAGAAGACCAAGAACGAAGACCGTAGTCTTAGTGTCGTTGAGTCGGTCACAATTGTGATCAAGACCGACCCAATCTTTACACCTTGGCTCTTTAGGCTAAAATTCTTTTCATTGCATTTCACATCATAAAAATGTTTTTCAAACATGTTTAAAACATTAAAAACATTTGGTGTTCGCCCAAACCAAAAACCAAGCCATCCGGCGTTCGGGTTTTAGAAACCGGCGTTCGGCATTCGGTTTTCGGCTTGGTTTTTGGCGTCCGAACTAACCAAGTGGTTTTCAACTTTTTATGATTGGTTTTTATTTCTGGGCGCATTTAAATAGTTTTCCATCAAAAACACTTTAAAAACCACCTTTCGTTTTTTGTCGTTTGATAAAAACCATGCGAAACGGCATAAACTTGGCTAGCCGTGGTTTTTACTTAAATGAAGTGGTTTTCAAGTATTTTTGTGTAGGAATTGTTTTTGAATGCATTTAAATGGTTCTCCAATCAAAACATCATGAAAACCACCTTTTGGTTTTGTCTTTTGGTAAAAACCACCCGTGTACGACATTGACTTGGTCATTCGTGGTTTTTACCTTAACGATGTGGTTTTCAACATACAAAGATTATTTTGACATCAAAATACATTAAATAAGTGTTTTAAACACTTAGTCTTTACTTTGGAGAACTTTGCATTTTTCGGTCGGGTTTCAGTGCCGGTCGGCTAAGCCATGGTTCTGGACTAGCCATATACCCAGCGATGGTAGATTTCACCCATGCATGGGAAACTGATCCCAGGATTCCAGAATAATTTCACCCAGCGATGGGAGATATTACCCATCGATGGGTAAGCAGCCTTCATCCCAATTGAATTCCACAACCATGCCAAACAGCGATGGGAAGCTTTACCCATCGCTGTTCAAGCCTTGGTCCAACATTATCACAAGGCAGAATGCCCTTACCCAGCGATGGGAAGCTTTACCCATCGATGGGAACCCAGCGATGGGAAGGCTTAACCATCGATGGGAAGGCATGACCATTGTGAGTCATTTAAGGCTGATTCTTTCCTTGTTTGAAAGTCAACCTCCCACCCAGCGATGGGAAGCATTTACCCATCGATGGGTAGGTGACCGTTGGCTTCAAAACTGAAGGAAATTTGGCATACCCGCGATGGGTGAGTCTAAACATCGATGCGAAGCCAATATCCTGCAGATCCCAAATTTATTCAATCCCATAAATCAAGCCAATCACCCCTTTAATGTATTGGTCCGTTGGAGCCTTTTTTGGCACTATAAAAAGGGGTGTTTGGGTCTGCTTTACACATCAATTCACTTCACTTTATTCATATTATCATTGCATCCAAACA